GATCGAAATGATCATTAGTGGAATTAAAATATTGATACCTGACAATATCTCTATTTATTTATCTAAACCAATATCCTTTTAAGTGTATCAAAAAATTATTTAATGTTAGTCATGTATTTATTTGAATAATTACAGGTATGTGATTCAAATTAGTATTTAAATGTGATTGATTAATTAAATGCGAAAGAATTTCAATGTGTTTAAAATAATATATCTAAGCTGAAAACTAACAAATTGAGGAATTTTTTAAAAAAATAGTATTTTGGGCGGCGATAGATGGCAATTGACATGAGTATAAAGCAAATCTGAACAGCTTGCCGAGACCAGTTATACAGGAATATACGGGAATAATAGAAAAGTTATACCGGAAAGTCTGTGTTATTTGTTGCATTAATTTTTTTTTTTAATATTCTTACTTCTGCATTGACGCAAAGCGTCTCTAAGCTGCTAGAAGATCATTTCGTGATTGCCCTCGCGAGTAATTCTCCATTGACATTCATTATTATATTTGTCATTATAGTCTCGAAACAGTCAGTAGTGAAGAGGGCCTCCAAGTAGGATCTCTATGCGTTCCCACGCGTTCCAAGTGATCTCAAAATTTCTTTTTCCTTCTTCTGTATTCCAATGTACCCAACGTCTCTACCCCTCCCATTTAATTTCCTTCCCCCCCCCCTCGTTCTAGATTTCCACTCCCATCTCATACAACTGACTCGTTTCATATTTCATATCTGTGCTCACTCTGGTCTCTTACGCCACAGAAGGCAGGAAATGCTTCCTTTAAAGATGTTAGGGATCCACTTTGACTTTCTCTCTAATAGGGTAAGAAATGTACTTTTAAAATGATAAGAGACACATATTCTGAGGTGAGTTAATTTGCGTATGGTGTACAATTTTAAATTATTTATGTAATTTTTGCCGAAAGTCATTAAATTAACCTTGTTTTATAGATTGTATTAAAACTGATCGATGTTTTTAACTGTTCTTGTGTATAATATATTTACGGATGAAATAACTCCGGAAGAGGAAAATAAATCCTCGTGAGAAAGATGGAAAGACATCAGAATTACGTAGTATATTTTCATAAAAATGTTTTTAACTTATCTTTGTTTTTCTTTTTAATGTGTGTGTGCGCATGCGTGCGTTCGCGTGTTTAATTATTATAAAAATTAATGATTGTCTAGAAAAAGTTCTGGATGAAAAAATGGTTTCTTCTTTCTGTGTTACCGTTTGAGTATATTATACTCCTGCTTGTTTTTTCTTGTTTTTTTTTCTTTTCTCTTTTCATCAGAAGAATGGATTTATGGGTAGTTAAATTAATTGTATTCAGTTTGCTTTTAAATTAAGTAAAAATTGTGATTTCCTTTAATTTCAGTGAAGAAAACGAGGTTGTGCCTAAGGTTGTGGAAGCTATTTTACACTTACCAGAGACAACTCACATAGCTGTTCGTTATACATCTGTTTTATTGCTTGGAGAACTTTGTGAATGGATAGAAAAACATCCTCAGTCCCTAGGTAAGTTACTCATCTTATATTAATGAATCATTTTTCAATTACTTTTTGCGGTGGGTGTCATGCTGAAGTGCAATCAGTGCAGGTTTTTCAGGTCCGGATTCCAAATGTTCTGCTTTACTATTCACATTGTGATTATAAATAAAGATAAGAACAAGCGTCGTAACATTTAGTACCAAGTCTTTCTTTTCTCCCCTAAAATGGGGGAGAGAGCTTGGGATGGGAGCGTCGTCAAATGGGCCACACACGTGATTTGATAGGACTGTTGAAAAAATAGCTACCCATTCCCACTTTCGCACTAAAAACAAAGTCAAAAAAAGGTCTATTAGTAAAGTTACATTTCGTGCCCAGAAGTGAAATAAAAGCTACATGTCAGCCTTCAAGAACATCTGGGCAAAATATTATTGGGCTAGAAATCTTAGGTGATTCAATTCTTGCCGATAAATGCAGCCTTTTTGCAGTAGAAAAGGTACCTAATGTATTAATAACACTGTAATGAAATATCATTTTGGTTCTTGATGCTCAGTTTTGTCTCAGTTGTCTCAGTTACATTGTAAAGAATATTGCACCATCTGCCGGGTTTCGCTGCGCGGATTGCGTCATCCTGCCGGCGCCCTCCGAACTGGACGGTTCCGGGTTATTCGCGAGTCGCGTAGTGTGGCGCAAGTTCCGTGGGATGTGTGATTCCAAGGATGTGTCGAGACGTGCGCCAGCGAGATATAAATTCGCCGCTGCCGGCTGCCGCGAGTCGGTGGGAAGTAAGCAGTCAGTGTATGTAGTCAGTGAGTATGCAGTCTAAGTCAGTCTGAAGTGGAAGCTGAGTTGTGAAGTGTGCATTGCGGTGGACACTGGTGCAGTAGGTGAACAGCAGCGTGAAGTCGGAAGCTGAGCTGTGAAGTGTGCATCGCGGTGCACAGAAGTGCTGTGGATCCTGTAGCGCGGTAAACTGTGGTCTGCGTAGTGTATTGTGGTCAGCGCAGTGGACCGTGGACAGTGTATTGGACTGTGCGATAGTGTAGAAGACATGAATAGTGTAAATAAATAATCAGAAGAAGTGAACAGTGTAAATAAATAATCAAGAGAACAGAGTCGTGTGTAAGGAAATAACCAAGAGAAGAACACATACAGTGTAACCTATCTGTAAATAATTTGAGTATTTTAGAGTATCATTAAGAAACAAAATAAACGTCTTGGTTAAAATATTACATGCGTGTGTGTTTTAATTCACCACCAAGAAACTTACAATATATTATAATATGGTCATGAGGTACGTGGCTTGTATCAAACTGTTTATATTCAACAATTTTTATAACATTTATTTTCAATAATTTCCTACATATGTCATTAAATTTACTTTCTCGCACTTACTAACGTAAGAAGAGAAAGTATTGTGCACCGGAAAACAGCGACCCAAAAACTCTTATTATTGGACCTTGGTATGGAAAACGTGGATAAATTCAGTTGCTAAATGTAGAAAAATATCCTCTAACACGTGGTGTAGCCGGAATTCATGTTTTGTGCATCCTTCATACCGAAAAATCGATTGACGGCCAAACGTCTGTCGCGGAGTTTTAAACCAATATTTTAATTTTGGGGAGTGCTTTATATGAAGCCATTTTCGATCTTTTTAAAAGTTATTGTTGAATAGTGCAAAAGACGTTTAAGAGAATGGTGCAGATCCCATTTTCATTGTAATCCCTGATTTTTCGAAAATTGGGAAAAAAAATTGTAAAACTTCAAAATTGAAGATAAAGATTTTTGGCCCCTACAGTCTGTTGTGTAAATTAGCTCTTCAACAAAGATCATATACAATGTTTTTGAAAAAAAGAGTAGTTGTTGCGTATTTTGATTTTAAAGTTTACAAAAAAATCTCAAAATTCGCTCCAATTTTTTTTAAACATTTTCTCCACACATATAATAAGGAACGATAAGAAATATGGCGCTAGTCTCATTTTCGGGTATTGCTCGGATTTCTGAAAATTAAAAGACTTAACTTTTCAAAACTACAAAATTGAAGATACAGATTTTTCTCTCAAACAAAGCCTGTTGTACAAAATTGGTTCATCAAAAAAGGTCAAGTACTGTTTTACTAAAAAAAAACAACATTTTTCTGTTTGAAATTAATGAAATAATGACTGTTTCGCACCAACTACGGACCACCTTCCATTTATAGAAAAAATGTAGGGTTACCAGGTCTACTTCCAAAAAATAGCATAGAAGTGGGGAGGGGAGTTTAAGATGTAATTTTTTAGAAAAACAATTAAATTATATATATTCTTACAAATATTTTAACACATTAAAAATTCACTTTAAACCTACTTAACATTGAAAATATTAAATATATTATTCTAATATGTAAAATAATGAATTTACATTGTTGTCGGGTGTATTTTGTATTTGACTGGACAGCTTGATCTATATTTTGCGTTTAAAGAATAGTTCTTTAATTTCAGAACAATGTTGAGAAATATAAAAAAAGTAAAGAGTTAAGAAAAATAGTATGTAAATTTTATATACTTTTATTAAGTGTCGATTTGCGAGGCAATTGAGCATGACTTATCGCCTGCCCAATCTGCATCTACAAAACAATCTAGAGTATCAATCGTTTCACTTTTAGTCTATGTTAGTTTTAGATTTTTGTCAAATAGAAATACTTCAAGATACTCAAAACATACTGAGAACGAGTGTCGCTATAACAATTTTGAAATCTGCTCAAGTAATTTACACTGTAGCTTATGTCTGATCGCGATCCTGAACTAATACGAGGGACGTTTAAAAAGTTCCAGGAATGGTAGTTCAGCTTGTTAATGATATAACCAATGGAATTGATAACCTAATGACCTTCTAAGGAAGACCCTTGCGCATCCTTACTGTAGCTTCATCGTTCCTGCCATTGTTGGAATCAGTGGTTGAAACCTTCTTTCGGCGCCTGTCGACCTGAGCCGTCGCTTTCGAGTTCATGTTCTCCATGGTTGCAAAACGTGGAGGCCCATTTTCAGGGGAGGAACAGCCAATAGTCTCGGGAAGCGAGATCCGGAATGTACGGTAGTTAAGGAAAGACAGGCATGCTCTCGGCAATGAATTTCTGCGCAACAAGCTCTGAGTGTCTGGGCCCAATATTGTTATGCAAACACCATTCTCCACTTGGCCCTATGCGTCCTTCGAACCGTATCACCAAACCTCTGCAAAACTTACACATTGAAAATTTCAGCAACAGCCAGTCCACGCCACAGTGTAACAGGGCCGATAGTGTGTATAAAGCCGATTTTTGCAGTTTGCACATGAACTTCAAGTTCGCGGGCTGTTCGAACTGCGACTTTGCGCCGACGGACTAACACTCACCTCCACGTGACACGGAGCAGTGGCACCACTGTGCTCCGAGACATCTTCAGATCTATTTTGCCCGCGTGCCAACACGCGCAGTCGCCTACTACAAGAATATGCTCGCTGTATTATTGTAGAATATGTCGCTAGTTTGGCGACGGCAAGCCCATTCCGGGACCTTTTTGAATGCCTTTCGTATACAAAAGATCACCTATCAAGTTCCTGTATCTAATATTGTGATATACATCTTGCGCAGATTCTAATTTCAAATTTACTTCCGTCGGTGTATTATACAGTTTCGAATTTTTAATGTAATATTCTTGAGCTAAAGATTCAATATACGCTTCCTGGCTGAGATTCATTACATTTTTTCCATGATCATAATAAATATTAATCCCAAGATAATTCTTGACTTCACCTAAATCTTTCGTTCTAAACCGTTCTGACAAAAGACTTGATTGTCTTTGTTGCAAAAACAGAAGTAAAATAAATCAACAAATCGTTGACAAATATAATCAAATAAATCATATCATCTCCATCTCTCTTAACATACAAACAGTAATCATAATTATTTCTTTGAAAGTCCAACTCATCTAAAGAATTATCAAAAGAGTCATACCACGCACGTGGACTTTCAAACCGTACAACGCTTTATCTAATTCACAAACTTTATTCGTGCCGTCTTCATAACCTTCCGCTTGTTTTACATAGATTTCTGATGGACCTTTACCATGACGAAACGCTGCTTCTACATCCATTTGTTCGATAATTAAGCCCTTTTGACAACGATATGAAAGCAATATTTTCAATGTTTGCATTTTCGCAACTGGTGAATAAATATCATCTACAATTTCTTTTTGTTGAAAACCTCTTGCAACTAGTGTAGCTATATAACTATTATCAGCCTTTTTTGTATAAATACACTTCACATCTAAAATAATTTTATCATCTGGCTTTTGAACTAATGTCCAAGTTTTATTCTTTTCTAAACATTCAATTTCTCTGTTCATTGCCTGCTTCCAAAACTCAGATTCGTTACTATTCATCGGCTTTTCAAAATTTACAGGACTATCTGCGCCACAATACTTAACATAATTCACATTTTTATAAGTATAGGTGTCTTTTAATCTATTTGGTAGTCTGCGCTCTCTTTGTGATCTCCTTAATTTTTGTACCTGATCTTGATTATTTATACTCGAAGTCCCTCTTTCAATGCTCTCTTTTGTGCTGTTTTCATTTAAATCTGATTCACCACTTTCACAATTAGAATCATTCGAATATTCAAATTTCGAATTATTGCCTTTATAACGAATATATTTAACATTTTCTTCTATAATATCGATGTGTCTACCAACAATTCTGTTGTTTACTAATACCTTATAACTGACTTCCGTGTAGCCTAACAAAACCCTCAGATCGTCCTTACGATCCCACTTTTATTTTCTCAATTGTTATGGTACTCGCACAAAAACTCTACTAATACCCATATTAAAGTAAAGGTTTTGCGTCGGGGTTTCTTTTTGGAAAAAAATTCATAAGATGTTTTCTTTTCAATAGTATTAGCTAATGTTCTATTTTTAATGAATTCAGCCGCACATACCACTTCTGGCTAAAATCTTCTATCTGCTTTTGCTTAAGCTAATAAACATCGCGACATGTCCATAATTGATCTGTTATAT